TTTGGGTCTTTGGACCATCATGTGTACTCGGTATCATATCACAGAACAGTGTCACTGCTCAGACCGTCACACATAATATGATGTAAATCAGTGTAATCAGTTATAGATCAGGTTGTTCATCTGCTGAACCTGATGGCAGGTGAGCTCCTGGTTGACCTGACGAGACTGTGAAGCTCTTTAGAAACTGTTCAGGTAAAAAGCTGAGTGGAGTCCTTTTACCATTTCCCATGATGCACTGCAACAGCTGCAGTGTGGAGCAGCTCTGATTGTGACTGTAGTTCTTCCTCTGAACACCGTCCTGTTGGTACGTTTTCCTGTTTTGTAACATTTGATCATATACTGTAACTCTGGCAACAACTAATGGTTGAAAAGACACTGGTAAAGTTAAGGAAGCAATTTTTAAGTAACTGTCTTACAATGTTATCAATCAATAGTTGATTAATCATTAACATGAAGAAGTGAAGCTACATCAGTGTTTTATCTACAGAAGGCATTGCATTCAGACTAAGACTTGCTTTTAGAGTTGTTCTGTCTGGAGGTCATTAACCTCTTCAGAAGTCTTTGTCATGGTGCCCGATGTTGGCTAAACCCAGTGAGAGGCTCCGCCTGGTGGAACAACCAGGCACTACAGCTAGTCATGATCCAACTACTGACATTATGGCCTTCTTCTACTGCTGCTTTATCAGTTATATTTTTAATAAGTTTAATTATTAATCAAAATTAATTGATCATTAATATCCTTGGTTAGAACCAACATAATGTTAAAACATTAGATCTCTGCTAAGTGTCTTGAAAACTCCATGGTGGCTTTTTTACAGCAACAATAAAATTTAAGAGTTCTGCTTCTTCAGGATCAAGACTACGTACAGATGTGATAAATTTAAACTAAAAGCACGCAAAAAAACAGTTTTGTTTTGTTTCGTTTGTTAGGATCTCCATTAGCACCAGCATTAGCATTGGCTATTCTTCCTGAGGTCCACACACATATGCACAGTCACACTTATACACACAACAACCACAAAGACAACAAACATAACAGCTCATCTCGCTAACTTTGCATTTATGTAAAATAAGGTGGAGAAACATATTGTCATTCAGTACAACATACATTAAATCATACACAGATTTATAAATCCATCATTATTCATCTTGAACTCATAGGAACTTGATTCTTTCCATATATACAAACAATTCATCATTCTTCAGAATAAACATATAATCACAATGACCTTAAATAACATATTTATCCATCCTGTTCTTCGACCCACTGAAATCCAAGAAAATAGGGCAAAAGTACATTTTACCTTCCTTGCTCTCACCAGCATTACATTTTATTTTGAAACACCATTTTCCTTGTCTATACCTCCTAAAAACTTGTAAATACTGTTTCAACAAAAAAATGTTTTGCCTGTATGCAAACTGTATGGTACTGGACTGAGAGGAAACACGGCCATAATAATAATAATAATAATAACAACAACCTGCACCTTAAGATCCATGAACAGCACAAACATTACCGGAGCTGACGGTCCAACACTGAAGAGTGTTCAGGCTCCTCCTCAGCAGAGGACATGTTAACCTGGTTCAGGAGCTCCTTGAAGGCTCTTTACAACCCGACAATCTCCTCATTCCAGGTCAGCCGTTATCCCTCCACTGTAGTCAGCCTGGGCCAAGCTCCGCCACCCTTCCTGAGGCGTCCAGCGGTTTGCCAGAACTTCCTTGGGGTCAACTGAAAGTCCTTCTCCATAGCGTATCCCAGCTCCTCCTCTATAAATACTTTATATTTATTTTCTCCAATGAAATACTGTACCACCTCTGTGCTGTCATAATATCATATAATCAAATGTAGTTGGAGTGACTCAGGTGTGAATGCGTTTGATTCACTAAAGGTGTGTTTGTTGTGCAGGTTCATCCTCCTGTGACCCTGAACAGAGAAGCAGTTCAGAGGTTGAGTTCTTCTTGTTTCTCTATAGCTAGGACACTGAATTAATCAGCATGACACTAAAGGTGGCATCCAGTATCCACACTACCATAATATACAGTATCCCATAATGATCAGCGGCGACATCACATGATAACATTCACTGTGACATGCTGTCCTGTAAAACAACACACAGCGTAACTGAATGTACTGCAGCACGTCAAGTCTGAGCAGAGAAACATGATGTTCTGCTCTGAGAGAAAATACAGGAGACAGACTGCAGCTCTATTATCAGTGGTGATGGTGTTGCCATGGCAGCAGCTCTTCACACTCACACACAACACACACACCGACCCACACACTAACACACAGACACACACTAACACACACACACACACACACTAACAGTGTCGTCTTTGGTGGCAATTAAAGGACGTCTCAGGGCGACGAGGTGGAGACCTGAGAGGAGGAGTGTGTGCGCGCGCGTGCGTGTGTGTGTGTGTGTGTGTGTGTGTGTGTATATCAGTGTGTTGCAGTACTGTAAATGTGTTTAATCACAGCTGATTGATTCGAGGCTCGATGAGTAAAAATAGTTTCACCAACAGTCGGCGTTCATCTGGTCTGATGCTCATTTAGTTTCCTGTCAGAGAGCATCATGGGGGATGGAGTCCTTACACCAAACAGGCTTTGTTGCTCTGAAAACATCCAGCATCGTCCTGCGTGGTGACGCATTTGCCACCCAACATTTACCGTCATCATGATGTTCATTCATAGCAGCAATACCTCCAGCAGGTGTGTTCGTGTTTTATTCATCAGTCTCACGTCAGATGTTTTGTGTTTTAACAGCCCAAGATCATATTTTTATGCTTGCTGTTGTTTTATTCCTGTGGAGGAGAACTGGTTTTACTGGTCCTAATGGAAGTTTGGAGCTCACAGGGCCGGTTGCTGGTTTAATTCCAATGGCAGGAGGGACACGGAGGTAAAACATGGCTGATGAACCCTCCGAACCCCCAAAACCTGCTGATGAATCTGACATGTTGAAAAATCACCAAATGACTCCATTTATCAGAAGCTGAAAGTGTAAAAGCAAACACAATTGTCAGTTTTAACTTTCTGACACTCTTTTAAACATATCATGTATGACGTGTGGTTTCGTTGACAAAGATAACAAAATCGGAGCATGAAATTGTGATATTTGATCAAAATCTCTTTGTTCTACATGCCTGAATTAAAAGTTCACCAAAAAAATTGTATGCTTCAAGCTGATTTTGTAAAAATCTAAAAACTCTTCACTGTTCTTCAGACATACTGGATTCAGGCAGTAAATCCAACAAACTGAGATGTAAAAACAAAAATTAAAGTTGAACTCAGCTTCTCATTAAATTAATTTATTGTTTTCAGGCAGCCAGGTTACTTTTTCAGGAATAGTTCATCTTAGCTCAACTGCAAACTTAGCTTCATGATGTAAGTTGTTTATGTTCTTACTCAACTTCTGTTTTCATGAGTTATTTACAGGTTAAACTGAGTTCACGCTGCATGTCAGCACTGGTCAGAGGTCATTAACCTCCACAGAAATCTTTGTCCTGATGCCCGTTGCTAACTAAGCTCCCACAATGCTCTCTGTTATTAAGGTGAGACTAGACCGACAGCAGGTGACGTATAAAACAGAATAATGTCGTAACAACAAGAGACTGAATCTGAACTAACAGCAGCTGATCAAAGTGTCCTAACAACTGACATCCTGGCTGATTTCTGAACTCTGTCAATGTGTGATGATAGTCTAACTGTGACTTCTCCAGCAGCTGCTGTTAGGTCCTGATCCATCCTGTCTCCATGTCAGTCAGGACTCAGTAACAAAGCTACTGCTCTACATGCAGCTTCTCTCTCACTGGAGGTTTATTTAAACTCAGAGTCGAAACGCTCTGTGATGTTTTTGGATCGATATTGGAGATGAAACGTAACAAAAGTATTTACATCCCTTCACACACTAAAAGTTCTGTTTCTTGTGAGTCTCTGTTGATGTGATGAAGTTTTATTCAGACATGAAACATGGTCAGATGTTGTTAGGTCTGAAACATGTTTTACTGCAAATACAAACAGCTGAGCTGATGTCTGAAGCTTTTAAATGACTCAGATTAAATTACCTCCTGCTGATCTATGTTTCTAAAGGTGTTTGTCAGTTATAATGTGCAGATATTTAGCAGGAGTCTCAGGTGTGAGGACTTCATCATTCATGAAAATATCAGGATTAACTCATTGTGTTCTTTAGATGGCACATGGGTTAAAAACAGTATCATCAGCGTACATGTAGACTCTAACATTGTTATTATATGAACTAAATGGGTCTGTGTGTCAACCTGTTTGCTGCTCAGCGAATTATGCATCTGTTGTTGTTTCAGGACACAGCGGGTCAGGAGCGTTACCGCACCATCACCACGGCTTACTACCGCGGCGCCATGGGCTTCATCCTCATGTACGACATCACCAACGAGGAGTCCTTCAACGCCGTCCAGGACTGGTACGTGATTAAGCTGGAAGCTTGTGTTGGTCTGACTGAGCTGAAGCGAATGATTGCCGTCTCTGTGTGTCTGCAGGGCCACTCAGATTAAGACGTACTCGTGGGACAACGCTCAGGTGATCATGGTGGGAAACAAGTGCGACATGGACGAGGAGCGAGTTGTACCTCCGGAGAAAGGAAAACACCTGGCCGACCAGCTAGGTGAGGCACTGCTGCAGCAACCTGTGAACTCAGTATTTATCACCTGAAAATACTGTACAGCTGAGGTTAAAGGAGGTAAAAACTGCAGAAAATAGTCTATAGCTGAGGTTTTAGGCAGTAAGAGGAATCTCTTGAGGGGAATCAGACAGCAGTTTCAGCTCCTTCCTGCAGAAAGCAACAGTTGGAACAACCAGCTCAAACTTGTCCTTCGACTTCTGTGTTATCCCTTCACGTATTTTTAATCATTAATAATTCAATGATCAAAGAATAATCATTAACATCCTGAGTGTAAACTCCAAAAGTCCTTAAACAGCTGAGGTTCGTGTAATGAGTCAGGTTTGCAGGAGCAACTCCTCCAGTTGAGTGACTGAAACAGATGAAGTGTTCCTCACATCTGTGACTCTGTTCTCCTGCAGGCTTTGAGTACTACGAGGCAAGCGCGAAGGAGAACATCAACGTGCGGCAGGTCTTCGAGCGTCTGGTCGACATCATCTGCGTCAAGATGTCGGAGCGCGTCGACGTGGAGGCGCCAGCGGCTCCCGGAGCCAAAACCACCAGACTGACCGACAAACCCGCCCAGCTACCTCAGAAGTGCTGCTGATCGCCTGAAGAGAAGAACCAGATCAACTAATGTAACATTCCTTCGTCCTCACTCGCTCTGCTTCAGTCCATGTTTGTGAGCCGTCAATAATCACTGCTGCTGATCTGCTAACACTCATACGAACGTCATCCCTCCACAGGAGCCTGAACTCTGCAGCCTCGGTCAGTCTGACGGTCCGAAAAGGTTGTGGAGCTGCTGCTGTAATGTTTAAGATGATGTTTGCACTAAAAACAGAGGAGGGAGAAGAATCAGTTCATTCAACAGTTCACTGTTTCATATCTCTGCTCACTCAGCAGTTGATGGTTTCTGTCAAAGCTGACCAAAACTGAAGTCAAAGTCTTACTTTATGCTGATAATTAAATCCTCTGAAGGTGTCTGTTGGAACAGATTCACTTTAATGCAGTTTTGGATGCTGCTGTGTGCAAGTCTTAAAAATGGAAACATGCAACTGCCTTCGCATGAAGAGCAGCATCCCTGCTGCAGAGGATCAAATCAGAGCCAGTTATTATTTCACATAGGTGTGTTGCTGCAGCGTCTCAGATTCCGTTCAGTTTACTTGTTTGTTATTTAGGACCCAAAATTACATTCTGTAAAATATTTTGGCTGAATTTGTGAAGTTCCAAAACCACCCTTGTTTGAAAATTCTGTACTTTGTTCCATTTTCAGGGTCCAATAATTAAAACCGTGTCCTCTGCTGGATCCGTTCACAACTAACTGCCACATTTCATGTCTGTGGGAGTTTTATTTCTGGATATTTGAATGCCTAAAATGGCTGAAAGCAGATAAAACCCTCTAAATTCAGCCAAAATATTTACAGATCTTAGCTTTGGGTCCTACATGAATAAAAGTAAACTGAACAGAATCTGAGACGCTGCAGCAACACGCTTCTTGATTTCTGTCTGAACTGACTGATCTACATCCCATCATCAGAACAAACATGTGACATCAGCTGCTTCAGACGTTCGGACCTGTCAGACTGAGCTGGAGTTGGGCTGCAGCAGCGCCTCAGTCAGCGCAGCACTGCCTCCTCTCAAAGTGTAGCACAACATGTTCAGTGTTTACAGCCTCCCCTGTGCTGCTTCTGGCTCAAACACACTTTAGGGCTACAACACCAACACACAGCTGCCAACAGCTGCAGAGCTGCAGAGGTGACCAGAGAGCGTCAGTCTCTACAGCGTCAGAAAACGGTGAAAAGTGTGGATCAGAATTCCTCCAATGTCTTGTTTAGTCCAAAGATGTTCACTTTACTGTCACAGACGAACGAAACCAGAAAACATTCACTGAAGAAGCTGAAATCATAGAACTTAGACAGATTTTATTAAATAATTACAAATAAATCAACTATTAGAATAGCTGAAGATTAATAAGTGGTTACTAGTTGATAAATGAAACTGTAGTTTTAGTTTGAATGACCAACACAGAACTCTTCTTCATCAAATCCATGGAGATGTTCAGTAGAAACTCCGAGTCGCTTCTTCATCAGGAGGTTCTAGAGGTTTAATAATGGCAGAACAGATCCAGATCAGAGAACATGAACACACTGAAGCTCCGTCAACTTGAAATCTACTCTGACAGTTTGCAGCAATTCTACAGTTTCATTTAGCAGACGCTTTTATCCAAAGCAACGTACATCTCAGAGCAGATACAACACAAGCAAGGATCTGGTCAGGAGAAAACAACCTAGAGCAGCTGTGAGTTTTGCTGAAGTCTGATTCTGCAGGACTTGACGTGTTGCTGTTGAACCCTGCAGGTGTTTGGCTGCAGCACAGAGCTCAGGTCAGTGTCGGAGCATCGCTCTGAGCAGCTCGTTCAGATATACAGCAGAGTTAAAGAGACAGAACCGTGTTTGACTGAGCGAACCCACTCAGCTGGAGTCAGTGTCAAAGAAAACATCTTGCGATTTACTCAGATCTGCATTTAAACTGTTAAACCTCCAATCAGTTTCTATCTCAGTTTTCCTTCTTTTTTTTTTATATAAACATGGATTTTTCCCTGTTGGTCACAGCTGAGTCAGTCTCAGAGATTCAGTTCATCATTTCTTGCACGATCTAGTCTGAGCAAACGGTTTTGTTTCTGGCGACTGTTAATCGTAGAATAAAGTGATTCAGACAAATTGTCACAGTTTTCTGCTCAGATTTGATTAGTTTTCATAACAGAACCAAACGTCACTCATGGTTCAGAGCCTCATTCTTACGGACAAACAGAACGTTGCTGCTGTGTAATTGAAGGGGTTTTTCTATCCACCTGTCATTTCAATTTTCAAACAAAAGAAACTGTTGCAGAAAAAAGTTGTAGCTCAGAGACCAGCTGCTGATGAATCAGCTCCACTTGCTGTTTATCTGACGAACCTCTGCTCTAATATTCACATAACGGTATAACGGCACAAAACTTGTGCTTCATTTGGATGAAAACTGAGTCAGAAGCCTCGGGCCTACACTTGCTGCACTTTCTGAAATCCTGATAGAAGTTCTTCAGGTTTTATTTTGTTTTGTGGTTTTGCCATTAACAAACTTCATGCAGTTTTTTCCAGGAACAAATGATCAAACTGCACATAAAGAAAGAGCTGCAGCTAATCGTTATCGCAACTAATAATTATATTCTGGATCAAACGATCAACTGTTTGGTTCTAAAACGTCATTAAGTGGTATAAATGTGGATCAGAGTTTTCCTCCTGTTTAGTCCAATGATGTTCAGTTTACTGTCACAGAGGAAAGAAACCAGAAAATATGCACTGAAGAAGCTGAAATCACAGAACTTATTGATTTTATCAGAAAAATACTCAGACCGATTAATGATTATGAGAATAGTTGAATATTAATAGACGGTAACTAATTAAACACATGAAAGAATTGTTGCAGCTTTAGTTTTAGTAAAATTGACCAACACAGAATTCTCATCGACTTGCTCTGGAGAAACTTCTGCATCTTTTTCTTCATGAAACGTTTTCAGATTTCAGACATGTAACATCAACGGGATGTTTCTTCTGGTGAATCAGTGAAGGACTGAAAGCCGCTGTGATCTCTGGGTGATGCTCAGTTTTAATTCAATCTGTCGCTGAGTCGCTGCTTCGACCCGGAACAGAGAACATGAACACACTGAAGCTTCTGTGGCCTCGACTTTAACAGAACAAAGACACATAATCAGATCGGCCTGACATGCACCTCTGCATCTTTGCCACTCTGCATCTTTGCAACCCTGCATCTTTGCAGCGCTGCATCTTTGCTACCCTGCAGCTGCAGGTGTTTGTGATGCACTCGGTTCCCCTCAGCAGGTGTCGTCCCGTAGCCGCCGTGTTGCAGTGTTTCCTCCATGAACGTGTGTGTGTGAGTGCGTGTGGTATTAATCAGACATGTTCATCTGGTCATCATGATATTTATTGTGAGGGTTTTTGTGTTTGTGTACAGTATCTTTGACGGAAGTGTGATATTTTGATAAAGTTACGTCAGCTGAGATTCAGGAAGAGTTTCAGGAAAAATGGAGCCGAAAAAATGTTTGTTCTTAAATATGTGAAGAAGAAAAACTATAATCCTGCCAAACTGTTGTATAGCGACCACAGCGCACGTTTCTGTGTGTGACTCCCCACCATGTGTCTTCATATTGATAAGATGATAATATTGACATTGTCTTCATATGATTATTTTTTAAGTGAATTTGTAAATGATAGAATTAGAGATTATACTGGTGTTGAGTATGGATTTATTTTTATGCCGTGTAAACCATGGACAAATTCTATAGAGAGTTTATGTAAACTTGTTGTCTTACCGTTCACTCCTGTACGGGGAGAAGCACAAAGTGATTGTACAAAATATTGTGAATGTTTGTATATTATAGATGCAATTTAGTATAATAAAAATCACAATCTTTAATCAGAAGGTTTGTCTCGTTTTTTTTTTTCTGGGTTTTTAAACTGGGTTCAAAACTCTTTTAGCATGTTCCATGATCCATCCATCCATCTTTAAAAACGTTATTATTTATATTAAAAATAAGAGAAAACACAAAAGAACAGGACATTATAAACCTCTGTAGACTGTGGAGCTCAGGGCTCACAAGTGTGAGCTGCAGATTTAACCAAAAACAAGAAACATCAAAAATCTATGTTATATTATATTACATTATATTACATTTAGTATATTATTATATTTATTATATATATTATATTATTGTATTATGAGCGCTTTTAGACCGTCGTCACAGATTCCTCCAATCAGACGCCCTGTTTTTCTGTGATTGACGTGCTCTGAGCCAATCAGAGGCTTTGTTTTGCTCAGCCGCTGTTCGGTTGGAACCGGGCTGCAGCTCCAAACTTCCCGCAGAACTGAGCTAACAGAGCCGAAGGTGAGCGTCCTACTTCGGAGAGGTCTGTCCGTGTGCTGGTCGGAGCTCCGGTGGAGCTGCTCACCCGGCGGACAGAGCAGACGGCCGGTTTTAGACTCCGGGTGTCGTAGAGCTGTTAGCCGTTAGCTGTTAGCTGTTGTTGTCATTCAGGATAACAGGATTAGCTAACGCTCCGCTAGCCTAGCCGGATGTTGCTAAGTTAACTCAGTTTCCAGCAGCTTGAACTGTCTAAACAAGTGAATTACTAACCTGCGCTCTTACAGTTCCTTTGGTGACGGTGTTAGTGAATATTTAAAGTTAGCTCGGAGCGCTAGCTGCTGACTGCTAAGCTAACAGGCTCTTGTGGTAAATCAGCGGATTTTGCGCTGAGCTTCTGCTCTCTGACGGATTCTATTAATATCTGCATCAGTTGCGACGACACTGTGAACCGAAGTGCTTTAATAAAATTGGGTATTTCCATTTTTAGCTCTTTCTTCGGACATATTTTGCAGGATAAACTGAGTTTTGAACACAGTAGAAGCTTATCGTACATTCGTCCTAATTTAATCTCGCTGGTGTTATTGTGAAGTGAAAAACAATGGTACTATATAGGCTACTATGTACACCTGTGAGTTTGTTGATTAGCATCAGTGACTCAACGTTTACAACTTAAGCTGCTATATTGTGCATTTATTTTTTTGTGATTTTTCTATCAAGCCAGTTTTCATTGTAAACTGGTTGGTTTTTAGTACAGTTGTGATAAATACATGAACTCAGTCAGTTTAAAGGAGGAATATAAATGTAAAGGCTGCTGTTTAGCTGCAGCTGTCTGATCGGGTTTGTTTTGTTGTTGTTGTTATTACTTTATTGAAGTTGCAGAATGCTGAGCTGTCACATTGTGTGCAGGAATGTTCTATTGCTTTCTTAATGGAATTGTGTTACTCCTTAGATCAATATTAACTTATTTGACTTGACACAGATAGTCGTTGTCTCTCCTAATAAATACATGTTGGAAGCAGTTTGTTTCTCTCAGGCCTCGTCTTTGCTTTCACCGCTATAGAACACCACTGAGTCCAGTTTACATGTTGCAGCAGATATTTGACATTTTAGCTCCAATATCAAAATAGTTGCTGCTTAATTAACTTTCCATAGTGTGAATAACTGATTAATTGTTGCAGCTCCAGTCTAAAATATTACTCCAGAGTGTTGTTGGATGAACATTTAGGTTAGTTATTGCTGCAGTATGGCCAAAATTTAAATCTCAAGATGAACCTCTGAAGGTTTAATGAATCACAGCATCATAAATGAGATGCTTCATACCTGAATCAGATTCTCCAGATGTGAGGAAACATGCAGCAGAAACCACATCATCATTTTGTGTTTGTTTGAATGGAAAACAAATTAAGAAACAACCATTAAAACTGTCTCATGTACAACATCCGTCAGAAAGTTTGCAGGATGGTTTGTCGTTGGTTTTAGTTAGTGAATAAGCTGTTGATTAGAGCAGAGGCCTGCAGCGGTGTGCTCACCAACGTGTGTTTCCTCCAGAGGACTGGTTGAAATGCCTCAGACCAACAAGTCGGTGAGCGGCGGTGGAGCACCGGGTCAGCTGTCTGCCGCCGACCAGGACGAGCCGCCACCGCCTCCGCCACCGCAGGACGCCAGGCCTCAGGTGGCTGCAGGAGACGCAGGAGCTGCTGCAGGCGCCCGGGGAGACTCAGAGATCATCAAATCACCCAGCGACCCCAAGAAATACAGGTGAGGAAGGTGTCAGGTGTCTGCAGCCAGCTGGGATACAGAAACCTGCTCCTGTCCCGCCTCAGGTTCTGTTCAGTTAACTTTGTTATTTAGGACCCAAAGCTAAGTTCTGTACAATGTTTTGGCTGAGTTTGGATTCTGCTCCACTTACAGAGTCGGGTGTTATCGTAGTTCTATTAACGACAGCTGTGGAGCATTAAATGACTCAGAAGAAGAGCTGACTTGGTTTTATTACATAGAGAAGACCTTTATTACATACATACATCTTCTGCACCAGAAAAGAGAAGTCTGATCATGTGAAGGCAGATCTGGTTTTTGATGATCTGCTGTTCAGAGAGTTTGTACAGATCTAATCTTTAAATTCATACATAACAGAAAATCTCCCTGATCGCTGAATTAGTTCACATGTTCATTGCTGAGATCAGTAACAGCTGATCTGATCGGAAGCGCTGAGCTTCTGAAATGTCCTCATCACCGCTGATGAGCAGTGTTTGTTAAATGAGTCGGTCCGTTTTCTTCCTGTATGGAAAGTTTACATGTAGTCTGCAGATTACTGAGCAGCTAAAAGCCCTGAAACCAGAACTATAATGTGAGAAAACGTGAAAAGGCAGCAGAGAAACGAAACAGAAATCTATAGTAAAAACCACTGAGTGAAAATCTGCGTGGGTCAGAACCAGCAGCCGAAAATAAAGTGAATAAACAGCTGATTGTGACAGAACATGACCGAAACCAGAACCCTGCTCTGCTGTGATCAGAACTATTCAGGCGGTTCTCTGTACAGGTGCAGATCAGCTGGTTACACGGGTGTGTGTATGTGCAGGTACGTATTAGTCTGTCACATGTGATGTCCAAGAAAAATGTGTTTTGGGTACAAATTAGATTTCCCTTCACTGTATCTATTGATCACTGGGTTTGGAGCAGATTAATATTCTGTTGACTGATCGGTTAGTAACTAAACCTGACTCCCACTTGTTTCCAAAGCTCAGGTGTTTCAGGTGGTTCACCTGACACAGGTGTGACCTCACACACTGACCTCTGCACTTCTGCAGGTACATCGAGCTGAGTAATGGCCTGAGAGCGCTTCTCATCTCCGACTTCAGCGGCACTGATGGAGCAGGCGGTGGCGACCCAGTGGACCGGAGGGACGAGGAGGAGGAGGAGGAGGAGGAGGAGGAGGACTCAGGGGAGGGGTCAGAGGAGGACGAGGAGGACAAGGAGGAGGAGGAGCAGGACAGCGACTTTGGAGATCTGGACGAAGAGAACACAGCCAAGAAGAAGAAGAGCTCCGAGAAACAGGTGGGTGACGAATACAGGTGAAGGTTGCACATGTGTGTTACTGTGTGTGTTACTGTTTGTGTCATTGTGTGTTACTGTGTGTTATTGTGTGTGTTACTGTGTTACTGTGTGTGTTGCTGTGTGTGTTATTGTGTGTTATTGTGTGTGTTACTGTGTTATTGTGTTACTGTGTGTGTTACTATGTGTCTCTGTGTGTTACTGTGTGTTATTGTGTGTTACTGTGTTACTCTGTGTGTTGCTGTGTGTGTTCCTGTGTGTGTTATTGTGTGTGTTATTTTGTGTTACTGTGTGTGTTACTGTGTGTGTTATTGTGTGTGTTAATGTGTGTTGCTGTGTGTGTCTGTGTGTTTTATTGTGTGTGTTATTGTGTGTGTTACTGTGTGTGTCTGTGTGTTGCAGGCAGCAGCAGCTTTGTGTATCAGCGTTGGGAGCTTCAGCGACCCTGATGACCTTCCTGGACTTGCACACTTCCTGGAGCACAGTGAGTTCAGTCTGAATGTTGTTTAGAACTTGTTTGTAGCTGAAAGACTCTGAAGCCAGCACAGACTGAAGAACAAGAATTTACTAAAATACTCTCTCATGTCAAAGAGAAAACATATTTCTACAAAGTAGTGTCAATTAATTACAAATATAAAATGTAGAATTAGTGATTGCATCACCAATAACCTCCTTTAAAGTGACTCTAATTGAAGAGCTAGAAGTCCGATGGTCAGTAAATGCATCATCTGAGGTCAGTGAAGGAGCCTCAGTGATTGTAGTATAAAGACTCCTGACGCCTATGACTCCTCTGAAGGAGTTACAAGAAGGAGACTAGTGAAGGAGGCCACCGAGACACCTATGACTCCTCTGAAGGAGTTACAAGAAGGAGACTAGTGAAGGAGGCCACCATGACACCTATGAGTTTATATTGCAGTGAAAAATGAATCCTCAGTGAGGAAAACTGAGACCAGCTGCTCAGAGCTTCTAACCTGAGTTTGTGTTTGCTGTTCAGTGGTGTTCATGGGCAGCGAGAAATACCCGGCAGAGAACGGCTTCGACGCCTTCCTGAAGAAACATGGAGGAAGTGACAACGCCTCCACTGACTGCGAGAGAACCATCTTCCAGTTCGACGTCCAGAGGAAATATTTCAGGGAGGCGCTGGACAGGTGAGCTGCACACCTGGTTCACTTGCAGAAACACTCAGCTGGGTTCTGCTGCAGGGTTCTGACTCTCAGGTGTGTTGAACATGAGGTCCAGTTTGCCGCTGACAGGCAGGACGGGTTCTGGACATTCTCTCTGTGGACCGTCTGTTGGAGGCCTGGTTGAGTTGATGTTTTTAGAGTAGGAAGCAGCAGAGAGCGCCCTCTGCAGGAGGAGACCGGTTATGGTAGAGATGCTGCTGCTCATAACTTGTTCAGTTGATAACGTGATTAAAGGTTTCGCCTGCAAAATGTCAGATATTCATTCAGAGGTGTTTTAACCTTCTCTCTTACACCGTCTCCTGCTGTGTTGCTGCTCGTTAATGTTTTCTGTCGTTGGTTTACAAATGATTCTAATCGAATAAATTCACTCCAGCAAAGAAGAAGGTCCATTTCATTTAGGTTGATTTTATTCTGACTGTATAAAGCAGCACAGTAAGAAATACGAGCTGGAAAAGTGCTAAAGTGTGGTGTTAAACTGTCCTGTTCTGTGAGAACAATACAGAGGGTTTGTTATTTATGTCAGTAGTGCAGCAGGTTCTTATTAAAGTACAGAGCAGCTAAAGCAGCTTCTGTTTCCCCTTTATTGAAAATGTAAAGAGAGACATGTTCCGCTGACTGACTGACTGACAACTCTGCTACCACAACATGAAATGGACCCTTTACATTTTTATTACAGTAGTTGCGCGTTGCGTTTCTGTTCACCTGAACCTTTACAGTGTTTGTGCTGAGCAGCTGTTTGTGTTTCAGGTGGGCTCAGTTCTTCATCTGTCCTCTGATGATCGAGGACGCCATCGACAGAGAGGTGGAGGCTGTGGACAGCGGTGAGTCTGCTCTGGTTCTGGTTCTGAACCGGCTCTGATCTCTGATTCTGTCTGTCTCTTCACTGTCCTCCGTGTCTGTGTCCTCAGAGTACCAGCTGGCGAGACCGTCGGACTCCCACCGGAAAGAGATGCTGTTTGGGAGTTTGGCTAAACCGGGACACCCGATGAGCAAGTTCTGCTGGGGTGAGAAGATGGAGCGCTGAGGCCCACCAGAGCAACTCAAACACGAACCATGACTGCTGTTTGGCTTTAACGGATGATTTAGTCTAATAATGTGGTTGAATTTACAGAACTGAAGGCTTCTGCCTTTAAACGTTAGTCGTATCGCTGCGTCTCACAGGTGTTGTCTTCCCGACAGGTAACGCTCAGACATTAAAGCACGAGCCCAGAGAGAAGCAGATCAACACCTACCAGCGGCTGAGAGACTTCTGGAGGAGATATTACTCTGCTCACTACATGACGCTGGCTGTGCAGTCCAAAGGTATAAACCACCCGAGACCAGAACTCCTGTTCTGCTCCATGAGTTCAGCCTGAACATACAAACATACTGATTCTGTCAGCCTTCATTCAAGACATTATGAATCTCTTTTTCCAGAGTGTTTATCAGGTTGTTTTACTGCAGGTTCAAGTGCGTTTGATGATAGATGCAGCTGATCAGCTGTTTAACGTTTTAACCAGCTGACAGTGTTTTTATTGTGCAGAGACTCTGGACACTCTGGAGCAGTGGGTCCGAGAGATTTTCATCAAGGTTCCCAACAAGTAAGACACTGAAACGCACCAAAACACACCGAAACACAATGTAAACACACTGAAACACAATACAACACACTGAAACACAATAAAACACACTGAAACACAATGTAAACACACTGAAACACGTATGTTCTGGAAATCTGAGTGTGGAAAAGTTTGAAATTTTAATATTGGAAAAGTAGATGAACACTGTCAGAAGCGGTCCGTTGAGCCTGTTCAGACAGAAGACCTGTGAGTTTGCTGCTTCATCATTCTGTCATTCAGACTTTAACCTCAGATTTAGTCACTTTGCTTCTGGGCATTAAGGTCAGTCAGACTCAGCTGCAGGAATAAACTCTGCGATGCACAAATGTTTCATATTGATAAAACTGGAAAAAGACAGATGACACAGTGATCACAGCACTGAGTGAATCTGAGCAGTTTCTCCTCATGAAGCTGTGATGCTTCACATGATGGTAACTGGATATGTTGGGGTTTGTTTTATTATTATTAATAACTTAAACATTGGTTATTTACAGCTTTTATTATTAATGAAAACATGCTTGTGTGGTTTTGTTTGCAGCGGTGAACCTCGAGCCGACTTCTCTCACCTGCAGCAGCCGTTCGACACGCCGGCATTCAACAAGCTCTACAGAGGTGTTTGTTGTTGTTGTTAGTAAATGAGACACACACTGTAAAGCACTTTGAGTACCACGAAGGTAGAAAGGAGCTAAATACATTCAGACCATTTATCATTATTAGGGTTAAGATTATTAGTTTTATTGGTAGTAGTTTTAGTATTATGGTCAGTGTTATTAGTATTCGCAGTGGTTTTTCTAGTCCTGCTTCCGTACCTTAAAGTACCTTCATGTATCAGAGGAAGTGTTTACTTTCTCCCTGACTACATCTATTTGACAAGTTTTAAAATACAAGACATTTTTTTGCAACATTATTTTTGATTTAAAAACTCTTTTAAACATATATTTTTAGTATTTTTGTAATATTTTGAAATCTGTTTTATTTCTAATTTTAAAAATAATTCTTTATTCCAAATTGTGTGAAAAACATGCAGAAAAAGACTATAAAATAAACAAAAATAATAAATAAATCTGAACAAATGTCCCACAGTTATAAATAAAATATGTGAATATGTAAATGATATATATAAAATGCCCCAAAAGTCTCTAAAATCTGTTAAAAAATGTTTAAAAAATACACAGAAAATTGCATTTTGTAACATGTGTAATATATTAAGAAACTATCCAGCAGAATCTGATAAACAAATCACACAAATTAAAAAAACAAAAAAAGTCTAAACTGGATTTGAAATAATAATAACTAATATTAAAACGTTTAAAATGTCACATTTAGAAGAGAAGTTAGTCGTAGTTGGTCTCAGGCTGAACTGGGTCAAATCCTCCTGCTGCTAACCCTCACCTAAACCTGCTCATTACTTCTGGTTCGACTTTACTACCTCATGTGATCAGTCACTGAATGAGGTTTCAGTGACTGAAGAGTTTCTTGTTGTGTTTCAGTTGTTCCTGTGAGGAAGGTCCACGCTCTGACCATCAGCTGGGCCGTCCCCCCGCAGGGCCGACACTACAGGTGAGTCCCTCCATCACCTGTCAGGAGCGCTGTAACGTTCTTAGCTGATTCGTGTCAAACTGATTTCATGTTTTGACGCCTTCAAACCCAAATCAGTCACTAACCGCTGGTCACAGCCCTGTTGTTAAGGCAGTCAGTCAGGTCGGACCGAGTCGGCCGAAGTCTCACACTGTGTGTTTCTGTCAGAGTGAAGCCGCTTCACTACATCTCCTGGCTGATCGGACACGAAGGCAGCGGCAGCATCCTGTCGCTGCTCCGCAAGAAGTGAGTCTGCTGGCGGCAGTCATTCATGTGGTGCTGCTGAGAAGCACCGCTCTGACCTGTGTCTGTGTTCAGGTGTTGGGCTCTGGCTCTGTTCGGAGGAAACAGTGAAACGGGCTTTGACCAGAACACCACCTACTCCATCTTCTCCATCTCCATCACCCTCACTGACCAGGGATACCAGAACTTCTACCAGGTACACAC